TTAAGGTAAAAGGGTGAAAAAATGTATTGCATCCAAATTGACACAAAAAGCAAGCAGGAATAGCTATTTGTATACCATACAAAACAAACTTTAAAGCAAAACTAATTTAAAAAGACAAAGAGGGTATTATATAATGATAAAAAGCCTTGTTAAACAGGAAACTATCACAATCCTAAATATATATGCACCTAACACTGGAGCACCCAAATTTATAAAACAATTGCTACTATACCTAAGAAATGAGAAGGATAGCAACACAATAATAGATTCGACACTCCACTGACAGCACTAGGCAAGTCATTAAGACAGAAAGTCAACAAAGAAACAACTGATTTAAACTAGACCCTGGAACAAATAGACTTAACAGATATTTACAGAACATTCTACTTAACAACTGCAGAATATACATTCTATTCATAAGCACATGAAACATTCTCCAAGATAGATCATAAGATAGGCCACAAAACAAGTTGCAATAACTTTAATAACATCCGAATTATAACATATACTATTTCAGACCAGAATGGAATAAAATTGGAAATCAACTCCAAAAGGAACCCTCAGAACCATGCAAATACATGGAAATTAAATAACCTGTTCCAGAATGATCATTGAGTCAACAATGAAATAAAGATGGAAATTAAAAAATTATTTGAACTGAATAATAGTGACCCAACCAATTAAAATTGGGATACAGTAAAAGTTGTGCTAAGAGGAAAGTTCGTAGCATTAAATGCCTGCATCAAGAAGTCTGAAAGAGCACAAAAGTAAAACAAACCAAACCCAAACCCATCAGAAGAAAAGAATAACAAAGATCAGAACAGAACTAAAGGAAGTTGAAAAAAAAAGTACAAAAGATAAATGAAACAAAACCTGGTGCTTTGAAAAGATAAATAAAACTGATAGACAATCAGTGAAATTAACCAAGAAAAGAAGAGAGAAGATCCAAATAAACTCAATTAGACAGAAAATGACAGATATTACAACCAATTCCACAGAAATACAAAAGATCGTTCAGGGCTACTACGAACACCTGTATGCACACAAACTAGAAAACCTAGAGGAGATGGATAAATTCCTGGAAATATACAGCCCTCCTAGATTAAACCAGGAGGGAACAGAAACTCTGAACAGACCAATAACGAGCAGTAAGATTAAAATGGTTAAAAAAAAAAAGGGTCGGGGGGGGGGGAGGCCAGGCACAGTGGCTCACACCTGTAATCCCAGCACTTTGGGAGGCTAAGGTGGGTGGATGATTTGAGGTCAGGAGTTCAAGACCAGCCTGGCCAACATGATGAAAGTCTGTCTCTGCTAAAAATACATAAAAATTAGCCTGGCATGGTGGTGCATGCCTGTACTCCAGCTATTTGGGAGGCTGAGGCAGGGGAATCACCTGAACCCAGGAGGCAGAGGGTGCAGTGATCTGAGATCATGCCATTGCATTTCAGCCTGTGTGGCAGAGTGAGACTCCGTCTAAAAAAAAAAGAAAGAAAGAAAGAAATGGTAATTAAAAATCTGCCAACAAAAAAAATCCAGGACCAGATGGATTCACAGCTGAATTCTATCAGACATTCAAAGAATTGGTTGGGTGTGGTGACTCACACCTGTAACCACAGCACTTTGGGAGCCAAGGAGGGCAGATCACTTGAGGCCAGGAGTTCAAGACCACCCTGGACAACATGGCAAAACCCCATCTCTACTAAAAATACAAAAATTAGCTGGGCATGGTGGTACATACCTGTAATCCCAGCTACTCAGGAGGCTGAGGGACAAGAATCATTTGAACCTGAGAGGTGAACATTGCAGTAAGCTGAGATCATGTCACTGTACTCCAGCCTGGGCAACAGAGTGAGACTCTGCTTCAAAAAGGAAAAAATAAAAAGACATTCAAAGAAGAATTGGTACCAATCCTACTAACAGTATTCCAAAAGATAGAGAGTCCTCCCTAAATCATTCTATGAAGCCAGTATCATGCAAATTACAAAACCAAGAAAGGACATAACAAAGAAAACTATAGACCAATATCTCTGATGAACACATGTAAGAATCCTCAATAAAATACTAGTGACCGAATGCAACAGCATATAAAAAAAGATAATCCACCATGGTCAAGTGGGTTTCATATCAGGGATGCAGGGATGGTTTAACATACACAAGTCAATAAATGTGATTTATCACATACATAGAATTAAATCAAAAATCACATAATCATCTCAATAGATGCAGAAGCTTTTGACAAAATCCAGCATCCCTTTATGATTAAAACCCTCAGCAAAATTGGCATAGAAGAGACATACCTTAAGATAATAAAAGCCATCTATGACAAACTCACAGCCAACATTGTATTGAATGGAGAAAAGTTGAAAGCATTCCTCCTGAGAACTGGGAAAAGATAAGGATGCCCACTTTCACCACTTCTATTCAACATAGTACTGGAAGTCCTAGCCAGAGCAATCAGACAAGAGACATAAATAAAGGGCATCCACACTGGTAAAGTGGAAGTCAAATTGTTGCTATTTGCTGATGATATGATCATATCCCTAGAAAACCCTAAAGACTCATCCAAAAAGCTCCCAGAACTGATAAATGAATTCAGTAAAGTTTCCAGATATGAAATTAATGTACACAAATCAGTAGCACTGCTATACACCAATAACAACAAAGCTGAGAAACAAATCAAGAATTCAACCACTTTTACAATAGCTGCAAAAAACATTACTTAGGAATATGCCTAACCCAGGAGATAAAAGGCCTCTGCAAGGAAAACTACAAAACACTGCTGAATGAAATCAAAAACAACTGGAAACATATCTCATGCTCCTGGAGGGGTAGAATCAATATGGCAAAAATGATCATACTACCAAAGGCAATCTATAAATTCAATGCAATTCCCATGAAAATACCACCATCATTCTTCACAGAAGTAGAAAAAAAAATCCTAAAATTTACATGGAACCAAAAAAGAACTAGCATAGCCAAACCAAGACTAAGCAAAAAGAACAATTCTAGAGGCATCACATTACCCAACTTCAAACTATAGTGTAAGGCCATAGTCACCAAAACAGCATGGTACTGGCATAAATATAGGCACATAGACAAATGAAACAGAATAGAGAACCCAGAAACCAAGCCAAATACTTAGTCAACTGATCTTTGACAAAGCAAACAAAAGCATAAAGTGGGGAAAGGTCACCTTCTTCAAAAACTGGTGCTGGGATAATTGGCAAGCCACATGTAGAAGAATGAAACTGGATCCTCATCTCTCACTTTATACAAAAATCAGTCAAGATGGATCAAAGATTTAAATCTATGACCTGATACCATAAAAATTATAGAAGATAACATCACAAAAACTCTTCTTGACATTGCCTTATTAGGCAAAGACTTCATGACCAAGAACTCAAAAACAAATACAACAAAACAATAAACAGATGGGACTTAATAAAAATTAAAAAGCTTCCGCACAACAAAAGAAATAATCAGCAGACAACCCACAGATTGGAAGAAAATCTTCGCAAACTATACATCTGACAAAGGACTATATCCAGAATCTACAAGGAACTCAGACAAACTAGCAAGAAAAAAACAATCCCATCAAAATGTGGGCTAAGGACATGAATAGATAATTCTCAAAAAAAGATATACAAATGGACAACAAAAATATGAAAAAACACTCAATATCACTAATTATCAGGAAATGCAAATCAAAACCACAATGCAAATACCACCTTGCTGCTGCAAGAATGGCCGTAATCAAAAAATTTAAAAATGATAGATGTTGGCGTGGATGTGGTGAAAAGGAAATGCTTTACACTGCTGGTGGGAATGTAAACTAGCATGGAGATTCCCTAAAGAACTGAAAGTAGATCTACTATTTGATCCAGCAATCCTACTGCTGGCTATCTACCCAGAGGGAAAAAAAGTCAGTATACAAAAAAAAAAAAAGAAAGAAAGAAAATACTTGCACACAAATGTTTATGGCAGCACAATTGCAACGATATGAAATCAGCCCAAATGCCCATCAATCAGTGAGTGGATAAAGAAATGTGAAATATATATATGTATGATACACACACACACACACACACACACACACACCATGGAATACTAATGAGCCATAAAACGAAATGAAATAATGGCATTCACAGCAACCTGGATGGAATTGGAGACCATTATTCTAAATGAAGTAACTCAGGAATGGGAAACCAAGCATCGTATGATCTCACTCATGGGACAGGAGCTAAGCTAGGAGGATGAACATGTATAAGAATGATATAGTGAACTTTGGGAGCTGTGGGAGAAAGAGTGGGACGGGGTGAGGCAGGGAACAGTGTACATTGCTAGGGTGACAGGTGCACCAAAACCACAGAAATCACCACTAAAGAACTTATCCACATAACCAAATACCACCTGTACCCCCAAAACCTATTGAAATTAAAAAATAATAAAATGTTTAAAAGAATAGCATAAAAATAGCCTAATATTACTCTTGATTACAGAGGCAAAAATCTAATACAAATAATAGCAAACTGTATCCAGCAAAATAAAATATCATGACCAATTTGAGTTTATCTCAGAAACACAAGTTTAATCTAACATTATAAAATCAACTTAATATTAAAAAGAAAAATTATACAATCATCTTAACAGATGATACAGTAAAACATTCATAGTAAATATTCTGAGCAAAATCACAGTAAAAATATTATTTAACATGATAAAGAATAACTACTAAAAAAAAGTTAAACATCATATATAAAGGTGACACACTGAAAATTTTCCCTAAGGGATCAGGAAAAAGAAAAATGATCAGCCTGAATCAGACGTTCCGAGGATTTCTTAGTTATTTTCAAATTTATTCTACTATACAATATAGATTCTGTATTGTAACCTGTTCTCATCTATATATGATAAGAGAATGTCCTGTATTCTTCAAGTTAACAGCCTAGATAAACTTTATATCGAAATAGAAGATTGAGTTCTATAATTATATTACATACCATAGGTTCTGTCTCCTTGGGAGGGCTGTCCAGAGGAGGAATGTACCACTGAAAGCAAAGTTCTTTGTTTGAAGCTTGTGTTACCATTTCTATTGGCATTATGTCCATACAAGATGAGCTCGAAACAGGCTTAAAGGATAAAATGGATTGTAGAGAACTGTCACGATACAACTAGGGAACAAACAAAAACATCAGTTTAATTACTCATAATAAATTTGTTACATATACAAAACAAATTATTTTGCTATATTGAAAAACTTTGGAATTGTCTCAGGTTGTTTTATGGAGGTCAATCTTAAAACTATCCCTGGGTTACTACCTAGGTTCTCCTACAGTAAAAATATGCTGGCCGGCACTGTGGCCACACCTGTAATCCCAGCACTTTGTGAGGCTGAGGCGGATGGATCACATGGTCAGGAGTTCAAGACTATCCTGGCCAACATGGCAAAACCCCGTCTCTACTAAAAAAAATACAAAAATTAAGCAGGCATGGTGGTGTGCACCTGTAATCCCAGCTACTAGAGGACTGAGGAGAATTGCTTGAACCCGGGTGGTAGAAGTTGCAGTGAGTCGAGATCACTGACCGGGCAACAGAGCAAGACTCCATCTCAAAAAATATATACGTATGCTTCAGACCAGGGGACTCAACAAATCTTTCCCACTCTGGTGAGTCTTACCAGGTGAAGATCTAGCAGGGAAAATGTCCATGCCACCATTTCAGTCTCAATATCACCATTGTTTCTAGGAACTCCGATTTGGTTTCTGGTTTATTCACCAGTGAATATACTAAGGGTGTGGTCATAAATTATTATCTATTTTTCCTATAGCATTTTTTTACAATGCCATATGGAAAATAAGACACATTTTGCTCCAAAGGCTAAAATCCATTGCTCTAAAACCCACTGGCTCTGAAAAGTTAAAATCCTCCTCTCCTTAAATGAATGTGGCTGATTTGTAAGTTTGGTCCTTGGTGAATATGCACCCAGCTTCTTCTATACAATTTGGTCACTGAATGAGGAACCTTCAAAGAGATAGAAATGTATAGAATGCAACTGGCAATTTGGTAAACTACTTAATTAGTCATTTAAGGTACCTGAAAAAGCACAGCATGGTTGCTACCTATCAACAAAACAGCAGGCTAGCCATAGAGATAATAATAGTAAAAACAATATTTCAAGTCTAAAAAGGACCTTCTTCAATGAAGTGCAAACTACTTTCAAAATTAACTTCTTGTTATTTCCAAGATCAGCTAGAACGTGGTCCCTCTACTTCAGTCTTTTTGATATCTAAGGCCTGTAAAAGTTTGATGACCAAGGTGTATTTGTCAGTGGCCAGAAAGAAATGTCTGGTGTGTCTATAAGGCTTTGTCCCTCCCATTATTTCTGAGCTTATTCAAGATGTAATATGACTGTGAATGTTAAGTCTTCAAAATACAATAAAAAGGGAAGTAAAAATGCTGACCTTTCAAGTTGTCTACTGATAAAAGAAAAGATGTTTTGACTGAAAGGTAATATTAAATGTGAAAAGTTTTCTAAATGTCTAAAGACAATCATACTTGCTTCTAAAAGCATGACCAAAATACACAATAAGCAAGATTAGCAGGGATCAACAATAATTTGTAAGTGCTTAATTCAGAGTAATTTTATGTCAAACAGTTCAGCACACACACAAAAATCAAGTAAATAATTGATTCTAAAATAATTTTTTAAATTTCATATCTGAGTGATTTTTCAGAGGTTCTAACAATGATTTTAGCAAATAATTCATATTCAATAACTAGATAAGTATTGAAAAGTAAAAATACCTTTTATTTCAATATGTGCATTATTAGCACAGTAGTCTAATAATGATAAATTATAAACATGTCAATATCAAAATAGGTATTTAATTTTCCATTACCTTTCAAATACTATAATATGTAGTTGCTAAGAGGATTCATCACATATGCTAATTGATGAATTATACACTAGGTATTTTTTTCTATTTTCTTCATTCTTTGAAAGAAATAAAACAACAGGCCTACCAAGATAACCATGGTTTGCCACAGTCCTATAAACAATAAAGCAGCTCACACTAGTCAGGTACTTAACATTACACTGATGGTCACAGGCACACAGTCCTAGTATGAATAACTCAGCATTATGCACAATTTTAATCATATTCTTTTGGAGGAATTTTTAATGTAACTGGTTTCCACCTTTGTTTTTCCATAACAAAGCTCCAATAGACTTGACAACATGCAGAATCACACAACTGAGGAGCACAACACGGAGCAAAGATTGTTCTGGAAAGGCACTACTTCTTTGTGGGGTTTAAGTTTTGAATTATGGAACGAGTTTGATTGAAATAGCCTCCTGAGTGATTAAAGGTTCAAAAACATTATTATAAAAATCAGCCAAGCTTGGAGTTTGTATATATTAAAAACATCTAAAAGACTTTATGCTCGTTAGCTGTCTACCTCAGTGAAACGAACACATGATGAGGTGGCTTGCACCTGTCAGGCAAGAGATGGTGATCTCCAGAGCTGATTATCCTGGGGAGTGTTACACTAATTATATCAAAAAAGAGCAAACAGGGTGAAACAACTCTTTGATAACATGCTGCCATTAGAAAAGTCACATTCATTTACAATGTACTCAAGCTTGAACGTTTGGAGGAAACAGGTAATGATAGGCTGCCCTTAATACTAAAATGTTCCAGCAGAGCTCCTTTCAGAACAGTATTTAAGAAATCACACGTATTAGTTTCCTAACTCTTATATAACATTCACAAGAACAGATCAATTGAAACTATTGTTCTCAGTCTTGCTGTCCTCTGCTCCCTACCTGAAAACACATGAGGTATCTGTGACACCTGACAGTAATCTTCAAAGATAGTCTCAGTTCCCAGGAGGGGTGAATCCGAATCTGGGGTTAGATGGCAATGATTTCATTCTACTCCCACTGTGCCCTTCCATGTGCAGAGCCAGACATTAACATGCCCTTCCTGGCCTGTTCACCTCCTCACTCACTCCTTCCCATGGGGAATTGTTACTTGATTGGTGAATTTGGGAAAAAGAATTTTGGGGCTGTTTATTTCTGCTCTTTCTTCCTGCAGGTAAAATGTTTGCAGGAAGTGAATACTCTCTGCTCCTCAAGTAACAGATTTTAAGGAGCCTGTCCCCACGTGAGGAGCCTGAAATGACCAGTCATATGAAGCCAAATTGATAAATCAGTCTACTTTGGTATTCATTGCTAGGAAGATCATTTCACCAATAAATATAAACCACATCCTATAATATCAACTTCATGACTCATAAAGATGAGCATTTTTTAATCCCAATCTGTTTTACTCTTTCCTCTTATTCCTGAATGATTCAGAGTCTGGGCACAGAATGGGGCTGCTGAGCATTGGGAATGCCATGATATCTTAGTATCTGGTAAGAGAGGAGAAGTGCTTTGAAAAATCTTCCAATGTGCTTTCAATACACTGCACGGAGGGCCACTGCATAACCCCAACTGAGAATTATTTCTTTAATTGGATTCTTAAAAGTATCCTAATAGGTCTTTCTACTACTTTTAAAAACCTACAATTTATTAACAGTCATCTGACTCTTGAGAAGCGAAGAAATGTTCAAAAGAGTGATTTTTTAAAAACTACAATTATCTACTCGAAACATAAGGTTGCTATATTCTAGTAGGATAAGATGAGCAAGGGTCACCATTATGAAACAAGCCACATTTTCAGTTCTCTGGGAACTTCTCTGGGAGAGATGGCAACAGCAACATGAACATATCTTATATGGGAAAATCTACAGCTATAAAAATTAGGAAGAGTTCAATGGTAAAGTCTAAAGTAGAGATAATTCAAAATAAATTAGTGATTTTTTTCTAGTTTTGAAAGGATTCTGTACACTTTTCACAAATTCATTTCACAAATATGTGTTGGAAGCTTACAATATGCTATGTCCACTTGAGTGTTCTACAAGCGTCTCAAATTCTGTATCTACAAAGAAGAAAAATGTGCTCATCCTCCTGCTCCTGTCTGTGCTAATGATGTCACCATGCATTAGTGATCACAGACAGACATTCTGAATGGTACAAGAGGCTCTAGTCATTTCCTCTTCACTCTCCACCTCCAAAGAGTCATAAAACTGTTTTTGTTGTTGTTGTTTTCAATTTTACTTAAGCAAATATCTTTTATAGCCATCTCTTCCTTTCCATTCTTGTGGTCATAAGCTTCATGACTTATCATCTCTCTCTTAAATAATTCACTTTTCATCTATACTTTGCCAATCAACCCTACTGAGAGTACTGCAAGTGAAACTAAGACATATTAATTTTCACATTATTTCTGCTAGTATTAATCCTGCCATTTTCTCTTAAAAAAGCATCTCTGAAATAAAGTAACTTTCTTTTTGAGACACAGTCTCACTCTGTGGCCCAGGCTGGAGTGCAGATCTCAGCTCACTGCAACCTCCACCTCCCGAGTTCAAGTGATTCTCCTGCCTCAGCCTCCTGAGTAGCTAGGATTACAGGCGCCCGCCACAACACATGGCTAATTATTGTATTTTTAGTAGAGACAGGGTTTTATCATGTTGGCCAGGCTCCTGACCTCAGGTGATCCACACACCTCAGCCTCCCAAAGTGCTGGGATTAAAAGACATAAGCCACCGAGCCAGGCCTAAAGTAACTTTCTTCTGTTTTAACACTATCACTGTTTCTCTACTACCACCCCGAGACTATATGTACAGGGACTAGGCTTTATCCATCATTTCTTCCCACTAAGAGTGTATCTGGCACACAGTAGGTATTCAACACAGGTTACTTGAATACCAAGTTTCAAATACATATTCTTATTTTAAAATAAAAGCCTTTATTTTTTCAGTATCTTTCAACACATTCATTTTGAAAGTTTATCCAAACTACTATTATTAAAGACTTTAGTAGCTTTAACTTTTAAAAAAGTCTCCATTTATATTCCTCTTTATATGTCTCTACAATCACTACCTTAAAAATTTTCCATATTACATATCTTGGGGAAATGTATCCAATTTAAAACACTTTTCCAAATAAAAAGACTTCACACGTTTAATTTTTAAAAAAGTGTTACCTCTATTATTTTCACATGATTGCAAAAGGTACCCACAGTGAATAATTTTTATTACACATTTAAAACCAAAGAACAGGGCCGGGCGCGGTGGCTCAAGCCTATAATCCCAGCACTTTGGGAGGCTGAGGCGGGTGGATCACAAGGTCAACAAATCGAGACCATCCTGGTCAACATGGTGAAACCCCGTCTCTACTAGAAAATTCAAAAAAAATTAGCTGGGCATGGTGGCGCGTGCCTGTAATCCCAGCTACTCAGGAGGCTGAGGCAGGAGAATTGCCTGAACCCAGGAGGCAGAGGTTGCGGTGAGCCAAGATGGCGCCATTGCACTCCAGCCTGGGTAACAAGAGCGAAACTCCATCTCAAAAAAAAAAAACAAAGAACAGAAATTGAGCACAGATTTAGAAACTCTCAGTGCAGTTTTCTTTTAGGGCGATGATACTGATATTTGTGTAACTTCTTGGCAAAAATGGCTGCTTGAGAAAGATGCTGTTTTGTACAGGAATATAGACACTTCTGAGACATTTTAAAAGACTGGTGAGAACAAGACTGAACCATTGAAATGTGAACTGTCCTAAAATCCCAGGATGTTTGGTGTCCTATCCACATGGTAACCTGGGAATGACCCTTCCCCAGAACCTGAGCGAACTCGAAATCTTTGGGCCAGCATGAAAGTTAACGTGCTTCCTCCTGAAATATGAGGCTGATTCTAAGAAGCTTTATGTAAATATATAATGTTTTAAAACATTACCTTGGCTGATGATTCACGTAAGTCTTTTTCTGAAAGAGGGGGATTTTCCAGACAAAGAAGTTCTTTTGGAAATTCATCAATTGAAGAAGAAGAATACAGCTGTAAGAATTTTTTAAGGAAATAATGTACTTCTTTCTGGCGCAAAATCAACTCAGAGTTGTAAAGGGATGTGAGAAGTGTATCATCTGGCAAAGAAATTCCAGAAACTGGTGTTGCAGATGCTTAAGAAAGAAAAATACCTTAGTTTAGGTTCATGTTAGAAAACAGGATGATCTCAATATCGTTGGCACTTGCTCAGTAACCATTATCTTTACATATTCCCACCCCCGCTAGAGGCTGCCAATTATTTCTCTGTTTTCAGAACTTATACACTAATGGAATTGTTTCTTGCCATGGAAGAGAAAATTTCAGGCTAGGCGCCGTGGCTTATGCCTGAATCCCAGCACTTTGGGAGGCTAAGGTGGTTGGATCACCTGAGGTCAGGAGTTTGAGATCAGACTAGCCAAAATAGCAAAACCCTGTCTCTACTAAAAATGTAAAAAATAGCTGGTTGTGGTGGGGCGTGCCTGTAATCCCAGCTGCTCAGGAGCCTGAGGCAGGAGAATCACTTGAACTTGGGAGGCAGCTGTTGCAGTGAGCCAAGATCACACCACTGTACTCCAGCCTGAGTGACAAAGCAAAACTCTGTCTCAAAATAAAAAAAAAAAGAAAAGAAAAAGAAAATTTCAGAGGCACATGAGGATAATGCTTAGTTTTAGGTATTAACCATGGTGCCACAGTTCCATGTACCTATTCTCTTTTGGGTTCGCCCGAAATAGATCCTAAAGAATTTATAGATAGTTTATTTGAAAAGTAATTTCAAGCATAAGTGAGGGAATGGGCAAAGTGTGACAGAGAAAAGAAAAAAGCCAATAAGGGCAAGTAAATGAGTGGGCTACAGCCTTGGGCAGTGAGTCCCACTGGGGACTTTTTGGCAAACCCTGAGAAGCTGGCATGTTTATTTAGGAGCTCCCTACCTCAATAGCTGAAAATTACTCCTGGGTCTGTGAAAACCCTGCCTGCAGGCTGGTCAAACCTCAGTAGCTTCAAAGAAAGCCCAGGGCAGAAAAGCAGTGAGACATGGCACTTGTGGTGGTAAGTGCCAGCAGGTAAGCAGAGTGGCTGTGGGGCAAGGGATCACCAGGACTGGCTGCACTGACTTGTCCATGTTCTTCCCCTCTGAACCTCCCTTGCTCTAGCCCACATCACCATGAACCATTTTGCCCTGAAACCTCTCTAAGAGCTTGTTAGCTCCTGGCAACTGTGCTTAGCAACCCTATGACTCAGCCTATTTGTGCTGCTGGTTTCCCCACTACTGTGCCCTGGCATGGGTCAAACTGTCTTTTCTGACTGTTCGCACTGATGGGCAACACTGGATCACCAACATCATGAGCACAGATAAAACATAACAATGTCACACAATCACAAGAAGGACTGATGTGAAGCAGAATTTATTAGTTTTCCTGGATATTCTTTAGATAGAACCAATGATTTAAAATGATTTAAAAAAAAACTCCATGGAATTAATATCCCATCTGAAGTCATGCATCTCTTCCCTTTGACATGCCACTCTTTCTCTACTGGACCACTCTTTCTCTAAAGCCAAAATGTCATCTTGTTTATTTTATAAACTGTCACTTTGGAATCACTAGTTCTTAACTGCTTTGAGCCATGGACTACTTTGGCAGTCGACTTGGAAAGCCTCTGGATGCCTCCTTATCATAATGTTTTTAAATATATGAAATAATATATATAGAATTTCTACAGAAACCAATTACACTGAAACCAATTACATTCCATCCAAGGATGCATGTATCCCAGGTTAAGAACCCATGAAATTTTCATCTTCTGATAACAGTCACTCAGGAAGATGTCAAAAGTATCTTATAATTCCCAACAAGAAACATGACTTAAACAAGAATTAGAAAGAAATATGTTCTCTCGTAACACATCAAAAACCTACCTAGCAGTTTGCTGAGATTATTAATCCTCTGAAGGTGGATATAGTAGCGCAGGAGAAGGATCCATGTAATATCTACTTTGGTCTGAGTCTTTTTTCTACCATCTGTGCTGTCATACACATCATCATTTTGGTACAAAAATGTACAGGAAGTCTGGAAGACGACTTGGTAGTTATCTGAAAGTGAAAAAAATTTTTTGTAATACAATGTTATGTTTTCCTTGAAAAACAATCATGAATAGAAAAAAAGCACAGCTCATAAAGGAAAGGCTGACACATGACACTACGTTTCATTTAAAAGTCTTTTGTATCACTCAGACACCAAACACCAAGAGACCAACCACAGACTGAGAAAAGATATTTAAAATATATTTATGAATTATCTTTCTCTGATATGTGTAAACACCTTGCACCAATCAACAACTGTCAAGCAACACAATTTCAACAGGCAATTCATAGGAAAAGTGGGCAAAGAATATCAATACGCAATTCACAGAAAAGTAAAACAAAACGACCAAAACTTTTAGCATCACTAAAAATTATAAAAATGCAAATTAAAATGAAATGCCATTTCACATCCGTTAGGAACTGATAGACAACAAACTCTGAAAACAATAAATATTGGTAATAATGTGAAGAAATTGGAATGTTCACACGTTGAGAGGACAACTATTTGGAAAGGAATTTGGCAGATCTAAGAAAACTGGAAACACAGATACCCCTATATGTGTACCAAGTTTTGCACAGTGTTTTTTGTAACATTAAAAAAAAGAAATGTTAAAATATAAATGGGAGTCTAATCATTTGAAGCCATTTAAAGTGAATGAATTAGATCTATAAGGGAGAGAATGTAGTGTGGAGTCTCACTATATTTATAGTCTTATGATATTCAAATCCCAGATTTACACTCACTAGTGTGTGACCTTGAATCTCTCTGTGCCTTGGGCCTCTCCAGGCTTTTGATTTTCTGACTTTTACTTTTTTTTAAAATGGGCAATATAAGGGTGATGATAGATAGATCCTGAAAACATACAGAGTTAACAAGCAGGTTCCAGGTAGTATGATACCATTTATGTAAGTTTGAAAACAATATTATTTGTATCATTTATGTGTATATATATATACACACACACATATATAATATTTAATTAGAATAGTAGTTGTCTCTGGGAAGCAAAAAAAGGAAGATAAATAGAATCTTCTATCGTTAATGGCCCATGCAGGTTTTCTAGAATAACATGAATCCCCATGTACTCACCATCCGCCTTAGAATACAAATTCCCAGCACTTTGGAAGTATCTTATAAGCCTCTCTCTAATCCCATTTCACTCTTGCTGCCTGAGCTCATGTCCCAGAAATAATCACTATTCAAAATTTTGTGTTGCTAATCCCATTATCTGTCCTTGACTCTTTAAACATATCCATTACATAACATGTAATAAATAAAACATTAACTTTATCTTTTTAGAACTTTATAGGAAGAGAATCATATTGCATGCATTTATCTATGATTTTCTTTTTCCTTTAAACACTATTCTTTGAAAATTCAGCCAGGCTAATGCAGGTAGCTGTTATTCACTGATATTTTTTGTTGTTATATACTATTTCAGTATACTGAAATTTTATATATCTATTTATAAACCTATAATGTATATAGCTATTCTACCATTGATGGACATGTGATTTCTTTCTAATTTTGTTTTATTTTGCTTTTTACTGTTATGAACAAGGCTGCTATAAATATTTGAGTACATATTGCCTGGTGTATATATGCACTAACTTCCTGGATGTGGAATTACTAGGTTGTTCTTTTTTAGGTGTCTTTTAACCAATCTTACCTTTTGTTCTTTCATATAAATTTTGGCATAAGATTGTCAAATTCCACAAAATAAAACCTATTACTGAAACTACATTAAATCTATCAATCATTTTTAGAATACTTGGCATTTATCAATACCAAGCCTTCTTAACTATAAACACAGTATGTTTTCTTATCTCTTTCAATGAAATTTTATAATTTGTTTCACAACTTTGGTTAGATTAATCCCTAGAGGTCTTATATATTTTTGTAGCTACTGCAATAACATCTTTTTGAAATACATTTCCTGTTAAAAATGTATAGAAATAAACATTACATCCAACAACCTTGCTAAATATTTTGATTGCCTATACTTCTCAGGAAGTGTCTATGTGAATAATCTGTAGTGAATGATGGCTTTATTCTTCTTTCCTATTCTTTGTACTTCTTATTTCCTTCTTATATTATTGTGCAGGGTAGGACTTCCAGAACAATCATGAATCAAAATAACAATAGCATTTTCTTACTCTTGATTTTAAAGGGAATAGTTTTGCATCTGAATATTGATTATAAATACAGTAGGCATGTTTTCCCACTTGTAACTTTTTAAAATTAATTTTTTAAATTCCTGGTTTTAGAATCATAAATGGTTGCTGAATTTTATTGAATTTTTCTGTACCTATTTGAGATGATTATTATTTTTCTCTTTTAATCTGTTAAAGTAGTGACTCTGTTGAACAGATTCTCTGATGTTGAATTACATTTGCATTTCTGGAAATAATCCAATTTGACATGAGGTATCTTTTAATATGCTGCTGATTTTGATCAAACATTTACATAATCAAAAATAAAATTCCCTCTCCCAGAGAGAAGCATTTTTAAACATTTGTACTTTAGTTCCTCTAGTAGTTTGTTCCAGCTCTTAAAATAATTTCCTTATAGCATTTTCCTAAATTATCAGTTTTAGAAAATAGGTCTGGTGACTTTTCCTGTGACAGATGAAATATTAGCTCATAAAACCATTCCTCTTCACTTCAAAACGTTTATAGTGATACCACCGTCTTCGGTTCCCCTGTTTATATACATCGACAGTGTTCTACCAGTGCTTTCTGGTCCCACCAAACACAGGTAGTATCTCCCGATGTCGTCCTCTGTATTCTAATAGTACCTGCACTCCGTTCCTGGCTTCTCCTTGCCAGGTTTTCTGTTTCCAAAGTTGGTAACATCTACATTCTGTTCTATACCCATAATAAACCCTTCACTGTTTTGTCAATAAATTGAAAATCAATAAATAATACTTACATTATTATGATGGTATAGGAACTGTTTACTTCAATATGACCAAATTACTTTCACTAAGGGTCACTGTCAAAACTTGTGACCCACAAAAGATAAAGTTCTCAGCACAAAGTCAATGGACTGTTCTTACTCACACCAGTCTCTTAATCATGTCATATTCTAATTCGCTTCATATTTGGACCATGAATTCTTCAAGATTACTTTCCCCTAGAATTTCTGAATGCCTTTTCTTCCTTGTTGAGAGAAGTAATATTGGCACTCTTCACCATATTCCTAATATCATCTGGCTGTTGTGGCATTCTATCCACTGCCTGGAGTCCGGACATTCCTGCTACTGATGACATTCTTGAGATCACAAACTTGCCACTCCAATTTGTACTGGCTTATGTCTAGACCACTGGATAGCAGGCAACACTGAGGGCCCTTTCCCCTTTTCCTCTCTTCCTCGCTTCCTTTCTTTTTTCTGTATTACATCTACTTCTTTCTTCATATGCAGCCCTGTGTGCTGGGGTGCATTCTCAAGTAACTTTCTTTTTAAGAAGTAACTTTCTTTCTAAAAAGTTCACCAAAAGTAAACCACTGGAGTCTTTACAAGGCCCTTGTACTTGATTGATTAAACATATAACTTTAGTTGACACTCATTTTCTGTGGCTTTCTAGCATCTACTATTGCTGGTGAGAAGCCTGATGCTAGTCAAAGTCTCTCTCCCTCCCTCTCTTCTCTCTTACCCCACAGAGCGGACAATTGATTTACAACAGATGTAACACCGCAGTATTGTAACGAAGGGTTTTTTTTTTCAATGCATGTCTCTGGGTTAATTATACATCCAAACTGAAAAATGTAAATCTTGATTTCAGCTTCACACTTGTAACAAAAATAGATTTTGGGGTGAACTATAAATCTAAATGTGAAAGATTTCAAATGATAAAAACATAGAAGGGTACCTTTATGATTTTTGTTTAGGAAAAGATTTCTAAAACTGAACACAAAAAACATGCAAACCATAAAAAAGATTTATTAATTGGGGATAAAAATTATAAACTTTGGATAATTAAGAGAAACTACTACTAAATAAAAAGGTAAAACACAGAATGGGAAAAGATATTTGTAATACATATAATCTACCAAAGGGTTATATCCAGAGTACATCAAGAATGTCTCCATATCTCTAAGCCAAAGACAGTAACTCCCAGGAAAAATGGGCATGGTTTTAGAACAAGTTCACCCCAAAAAACTATGCAAAAGCCAATATACCATATATAATAGTGTTCAATCTCTTTTGCGATCAAAATAAATTTTAAATTAAGACCACTTTGGAGATCTTCTTGGCAATACCCACTAACGCTGAAAACATGTATATCTTATGATCAGCAATTCCACTCCTTGGCATACTATAAAAACACATATGTCTGTGCACAAAATTCATAGCAGCATTATTCATAACCCCAAATGTTTATCAACAGTAGAGTGGACACTAAGTCTGTGATTAATCATTGTGCTATTATGCCCAATGATTAATCACAGAAACAGGAGGGTGAACAGAAGTCAGACAAAAAAGAATATAAACTGTATTATTTCATTTATCTAAAATTCAAAAGCTGCCCAAAATAATCTAACTGTTATAAATCAGAAGGAAGAAAGGTTGGAAGGGAACATGATGTAGCTTCGGAGGCACTGGTCTTACTCTATTCCTTGACCTAGTGATGGTTACATGAGTGTTTCCCTTGTGATAATTAATGAAGCTGTAAATTCATGATTTGTGGGTATTTGGGCTGGGGGAGAGTGGGACAGAGTTTTGCTCTTGCTGCCCAGGCTAGAGTGTGATGGCACATTCTCGGCTCATTCCAACCTCTGCCTCCTGGGTCCAAGCAATTCTCCTGCCTCAATCTTCTGAGTAGCTGGGATTACATGCACCTGCCCCCATGCCTGCTAATTTTTTTTTTTTTTTTTTGAGACAGAGTTTCACTATTGTTGCCCAGACTGGAGTGTAATGGCACAATCTTGGCTCACTGCAACCTCTGCCTCTGGGGTTCAAATAATTCTCCTGCCTCAGCCTCCTGAGTACCTGGGATTATAGGCA